ACTAGTGAAAACTAATCCCCACCTAACATCTACTCTTACTATTGAGTCATTATATTTACATTTTTGTCTCTCACTTTCAAGGGCTCATTTTTGTCCACACATTACATAGGACAGACAGCAACACACACCAATAAACCTTCTAAAAACCTTTAAAGCTTCTGGCAAACCTATTTGCACCAAAATTTTAAGTGCATTTGAGATTTTTCCCTAAGCATCTGCCAGTCTTTACACAGGGGGTTTTCAGGAACATGTTTTAGAGGAAAGAAACTACAAGGTGAGGTATTGATCTCTGCTGCAAATCATACAGGAATAAAATACAGTGATAAAATTAATGAATCACAGCAATAAACTTTTGGAGTGGTGGCTGAGTTGTGAGCTGGGGTGGAGAACAGTTTTGGCAAATCAGGCTGTGGCTTGAAATGCCAGATGATTCTTCTATTTTACAACAGCTCATAGTCTCCTAAGCCTCAGACAGTGGACGTAAGGGAAACAAACACAGAGACACTGCTGCCAGAGGTTTGCTCCAGGCTCAGAGGACAGTGGATGACAGTGACTGCTGTGGAGATGCACAAGGCTACAGCAGCACCAGGGGATGAAAAGGCTCAGTCTGCTCTGTAGCAACTGTCCCCAGTTATTCTGTCCTGCTGCAACCTGAATCTGTCTTACAAAACTATGTTGTCTCCATCAGGAAAACTGCCTTCCTCTCAGCAGACCTCTTGGGGGTCAGACCTTTAATCAGGATAAAAAGCTTTCAGCTCCAGCTGAAAGTCAGTAATCTATAAAGCTGAAATCAGTAATCTATAACAATCTTCACAGCCTCATCATTTCATCTAAGTATCATCTCCTGTAAAATTCATCTGCTTCACTGCAGCTGAAAACAGTTTGAGGTATTTTCTTCCCTCAAACCAGGACCAATGTTGTTGCAACAACCAGAACTTGAGCAAAAAAGCCACCATCTCTTTGAAGGCTTAAATATTTGGAGAGAGAATGCATATTGCAGAGGCATAAAGACCATTTCTGCTCACAAGGTGCACTTTTGTTTGCTGCTAACTCTTCTTTTTTTTCCTTCCACCAACGAGTTTCCCAGGGGCAGCTTAAGTGACTGGTTTTCAAGTGGCCAGCACTCAATTGTGTCAAGACAGGATTTCCTAGAATACCTTCTTTTTGGCAGCTCTGTTCAAGGCAGGAGGGTCGTTCCACCCATTCTGAGGCCCTGGGAAAGAAAGAAAACAGGGCATAAGTACCTCAGAGGAGGGTAGTGATGCTTTCCTGAGCTCAGCTGGGCCAGCTCCCCACTATGGCTCTACTGGCAGAGCCTGCCCTCACCTGCCTGCTCCTCTGCCCTTCCCTGGGGATCAGAACAGCTCCTGTGCCAGCCAGAGCCTCCCAACACACCAGGCATCAGGCCCTTCAGGCTCTGTAACCACTGCACAGGTCTGGCATCTTGGCCAACTGTTCTCAAGTTTGACAGGTTCAACCCTTTTTATTTTTTTTAATGCATCATTAACATTTTCTTTTCTTGCAGGAACAAAACAAAACACCACAACTCTGAGAGGACATGCCCTTTGAAAAGGCAGGCAGCTGCTCAGTGTGCCCAAACCACAGCTCTGCTACACACTGTGTAAGTCAAGATAGAAAGGAAAACCTGTATTGAACTTTCTTCTTCTCATGGTCACCATAAGATTATTACACACATTAATCAGCAGCAGAGGTGTCAGAAGCTGGGGGTGAATAACACCATGAAGCTGCATCCATCTCCCAGGGGGCTGGTGCTGCAGTTGTGGAGTGTGATGGATGCACACATGGCAGTTAAGACATTCCCCAGCAACACAACACAGAAGAAGGAATAAGAGGCAACAGAAGCCTTAACCATTTCAGGCCACATTCACCCAGCCACCCTGGAGACACAAGAGAGCCATAAAACCAGGTTTCCCCTGCCAGCTACAGCAGGTTTACAGGTGCTGTGTGTCCCAAAAGCAGCTGGAAGGTGGCAATATCCAGCTTTTTTGCACCTGGGGCAATTTGTTTGAAACTGGAAGAAGCACAGAGGATATCTGAGCTGATTCCCTCTGAGTCCAGTTCTGTATCAAACCTTCTGTCCTTCCCAGAAAGCATGATCTGTGCAGCTCCAAGATTGGTCTCCCAAAGCCCACATTATTGCATTAGAAACAGTTCCCCATGTCATCACAGAGTGTTGGAATCACAGCATTACATCTCAGCAACACCACAGCCTCACAGAGTCATTAGGATTTGCTGCACGAAGCCACAAAAAGCCAACAAAACCAAATATTTGCTCAATGGACTTTTTCACCACAGTATTTTTTTCACTTGGCAGAAGAATTCACTAGCAGAAGAAGAATTCAACTTAACATCACTGCAGAAGAATTCAGCTTAACATCACTGCATTGAGCTCAAATTTCACTTGCTCCCCCACTTCTGTGAAAACAGGTTTCACATCCAGAGCATGTTAAAAAGGGTAAACAATTTTAAGCCCTTTTCACATGTTCTTTCTCTTTAACCAAAGGCCATCTCCCAACAGCCATGTGCCCCAGGGGCTCCTCTGTTCCTCCCTACCCAGAAACCCCCAGATTATTTCTGATACAGGAAGTCTAACTTCTGCAGTGCAAATAGTTGGAAACGTGTTAAGAAAAATCTTCTAAATTGTTACTGCTGGTAATTTCCTGGAATAACCTGCTTTAAAAAAGGAAAACCAACATTTGTTCCTGTGGTTAAAAACTCCAGATATGTTGTTATTTGTTGAAATTAGGGAATTAAAAATCAATTTAAAAGCTAATTAGCAAACAGCATCAGAGGTCATGTTCTCTGCAGAACAAGTCCATGACTGATGGCTGTCCATGTCATTTCATGTAGTGGCTGTGATTATTTTCAGGTGAGGTGGTACCTAGATCCTCTGCGAAGGTAGAGGCCTGGTCTTGAGCTGGGAGGCTTTCTGCAGATAGAATGCAAAGAGAACTAAAATACTTCCTTTGAACATAAAAACCATTTTTTTTGTTTTGTCTTATGTCTTTATTAGCCATTTAGTTTCACTGAGCACCAGAAGTCAGGGCAAAAAAACCCCACCTAATTACACCACCAGCCTAGAGACAAGTCAGTTGTTCAGACCACCCTGTGGAATTGCTTTTGCCTGCCTGAGCCTGTTGCTCCTTCCATGCAGTGGATCATGTTTCTGGTTGCTTCTAACCAATGTTGCAGAGTCCTGGCCCATTTTCTTATCTCTTCCTGTGTTCTCACTTTTCTGTTCTTACCAGCCAGACTAATTAGAGCACCATTGTTTTTTCACTCCTGAAAGCTTTTCAGGAGATGTTTAAAATACTTTATTTCAAAGGGGACATCAAGGGGCACACTTTTAACTGCATCCAGCAAAAAAAACCAACAAACCTCAAGCAAACTAACAACTGAACAGCTTTTTGACCCTGTGAAAAGACACATTGCCTGCTCAGAATGAGCAACAAATCCAAGTGGCAAAACACAGCCAAAAAACCCTTTGCCTTTTCAAGGAGAAGGGAAACACTGGGGATGAGAACTCCAGTCCCTGGAGTTGTTGGTCTGAAGCACTCAAGAGTTCTGGTGCAAACTCTTCCCTTGGCTAAGAATTGCTCTATCACAATTTCAAACAAGACTCCAAACTCTGAAAATTAAAACTGCATTGAAAGCAGGTTCACTGATTTATCAGAAAACAAACAGGGACAGGTTGAAAATGAAATTAAATTCCTGCTTCCTGGAGCTCCAAGCACAGCTTAACATGCTGATGCTTCTATACACACACCTGCAAAACCAGAAGATGTTATTAGCACCCTTCCTTTTTTTTTAAGGGCATCTTTAAATCCAGGCTAGTCAAAGCAAAGTGCTTTTCAAGACTTGAAACCTGAGATACTTTTCCTTCCTCCCTTACCCCTGCCTTTAAATGAATCAGATTTGCAAAGTGAAACGTGATGTTCCCAGCTGAGATCATCCCCACCCTGCAAAGCCAAGAGCAGCATCACTATCCACCCTGCACTGGAACATGAAGTTACAGGCAAGATCTACCTCTGGATGCAGATTTCTGTGGTTCTGTGGGATCTCTCACTCAGGCATCCTTCACTAAGCAATGTGGCTACTCTGGAAAATGTGTTGGTGGTGAAGCATGTAAATGCAGCAATGACAGTGTACAAGGCAAGGTTTTTTTTCCCTTCTTATTTACATATATGTTGTTTTGAAGGGTGTAATCTAAAAATTGGAAGAGGTCAGAGCATAGTTCTTCAGACACCTCTTATCTTTTCCCCACACATCTCCAGCTGCAGGCAGAAGTTGGCTGCCAGCAGCTCACAGGCATGAGCCACCTGGCCTCTCCCTGCCCTGGAGTTCAGCTCTGCATTTCAGCCCCAGGCTGGTGTTTCCCAGGAATCAAGAGATGATGCCCAAGTTTGTGTTCCTCAAAGTCTGACACTTTGCACTGGCTGCCTTCTCACCACAGCTGCTGTGAGGAACACAAGCAGCAAAAGCACAAGCTCTCAGAAAGTTTTATTAAAAAGTCTAGTAAGGACAACCTTTAATTCTGAAAGGAAATCTAGCAAGGCCATGCAGGTAACAGCTGCTTCAATTCCCCTTATATTAAATGACATAGACAAGATCACAGAATCATCATAGAAGGGTTTGGGTTGGAAGGAATCATAAAGATCAGTTAATTCCAACATCTCTACCATGGGCAGGGACACCTCCCACCAGACCAGGCTGCTCCAAGCCCCATCCAACCTGCCCTTCAACACTGCCAGGGATGGGGCAGCCACAGCTTCCCTGGGCAACCTGGGCCAGGCTCTCACCACCCTCACACTCAAGAATTTCCTCCTCATGTCTCACCTCAATCTCCCCTCTTCCAGTTTTCATCCATCCCCCCTTGTCCTCTCCCTCCCTGCCCTTGTCCCAAGCCCCTCCCCAGCTTTCCTGGAGCCCCTTCAGGCACTGGAAGGTGCTCTAAGGTCCCCCTGGAGCCTTCTCTTCTCCAGCCTGAACACCCCAACTCTCCCAGCCTGTCTCCAGAGCAGAGCTGCTCCAGCCCTTGGATCATCTCTGTGGCCCTCCTGTCTCTAGAGACCACACAGTTCCATAAATTGACTGGTGCTGTCACTTGTGTCTGTGGTTTCTACTGCCCAGAGCTTCACCCACCCTGTCACCTCATTGTTCACACAAGGAACTTGGCAGACAGATCTCAAGTGCCTGCCAGTGACACAAGCAGAGTAATTAAATGCTTAACAAAGAACAATTTCCCTGTTCCTTGCATTTATTTGGAGGTGCAGAATCTATGCTGTCTACATGATAATGTGCTGCTCCACATCCCAGATCTAGAGCCCCATCCAACACCTCTGTCCTATTCAATAATTCCTCTGGCCTAGAGATACAAGTTTGACATGTCCTGTAACATGGGGTTAGGAGAGGTCACAGTACAGCATCTGCAAGAACAGAGGACATGAAATCTGGCTGCAGGATGAAGAGAAAAGGCCTCTTCACCCCTGGCAGCCACCCAACACCAGCCCTTCCTATTTTTTGACAGAGGAAAGACCAATTGTGTGCAAAAGATGAGCGTGTGTGTGAAGGTGATGCCTTGAGAGGTGTGAGCTCCCAGCCCCACACATGCCAGAAGCACCTACTCACAGGATTGCTGCAGCCAAGACAAAAGGCAAGAAATGTGCCTTTGCTGCACTATATCACCCCTGACAGACTTTTAAATAAAGAGAGGGAGTCCCTGTGGGGTTCTCCAGGCTGTCAGGCAGAGTCAACACCCCTGGAACATCCTTCTACTGCTCAGATCTGGTCCTTGACTCTTCAGCTGGACCACCTGGGTGCAAAGTATGTTTATGGCCAGGTTTAGAAAAGAACCTCTCATACTTCCTGCATTGCCTGATGAATGCAAAGTTGCTCTGTTTCACAGGCTGCTGAGAGACAGGTTGCAAGCTCACTGTCCCACAGTCTAATCCAGACAAGTCACAAGGAGACCCTGAGCCCCATCTCAGTGCATGCTCTCTCACCATGCATGCTCAAACATGCTCTTATGTGTCAGCCACTCATGCATGCTTCATATTAATATCTTCAGGAAAGATACATGTCAAAGCATTTCTAAATCCCTTCTGATCTTTAAAGGCCTTCACAGCTACAGTAAATCCCATCACCTCAAGTGGTTAGGAAAAAAATAAGGCAAGTGAGCTGATGTCACAGGAAATGCCTGAATTCAGAATGTTGCCAATCTTGGGCTTGAAATAACACTCTCAAACCAGGGGTGCAGGGGAAAAAAAAAAACCAAAAAAACACATTTGCAAAATTTTCTGTGAGAAGTGGGATAATTTCTGCAGGCTTTAGGAAAACTTTGGCTCATTTTTGTATTTTGCTCTCCAGCCACTCAGCAGGTCTTGGTGTTAGGCTGAGAAGGTTACAAACTGTGGCACCATCCACCCACAGCCCATGACAGCCTCCCAACAAGTGTAGCACCCAGCTTTGGACAAGACAAAAAGCTCTGTGTTTGTGACAAGGTCTGGTTGGCAAGAGAAACAACGACTGCACAGGGAAGCTGGTGTGATTTAGAAATGCTTTGAATTGACCTCTGAGCACAAGCAAACTCTTTATGGAGAGTTCATGAGTGGAAGGTGCACGTTGAACTGACTAATAAAGCAACCCCCCCACCCCCCAGCCTGTACCCCCCATCCAAGTGCAGACCTGTTCTCTGGGATGCAGGAAGGTCACTGGCTGCAGGCAGAGTACCTGTTGGTCCAGTAGGCAACGCGTAAGCCAGAGAAGTTGCTGGAGGTCCTGGCCTGCCATGCTGAAAGGATGCACCAGAAGGAGGGAGAGGGAAGGAAGAGATGGGATTCAGGCTCGTTGGGGAGGGTTGAGGCTGTCTGGGGTAGAGTGGGGAGGGCACAGAGTGAGCAGGAGCAGAGGGTGGGTAGGGAGGGGTGGTGTTAGGGGCAGGGTTTGGGTAAGAGGCTGAAGCAGGGACAGGCTGCTGAGGCTGATAGAGAGCTGGTTCCCCTGTTCCACAAGAGTACTGCTGTGTGGCCTGATATGCTACAAACAGGGAGAAAAGACATTCAGTGAGTGAGTTCATAACAAAGGAGCAGGTTTCCTCTGCCTCTGCTTCCTTCTCCACCTGACTCTCCTTCTCTTCCCACCCTTTCCCCTTCCAAATCACTTACCTGCCCAGCCAAACCCTGGCTCCCACAACTCTGCCTGCACTTGCAGGACTGCTCAACACCTCAGCCTGTGCCACTGGGAGTGTGGAGCCAGGGACAGGACTGTCTTGGCTGTCAGGAGTCCCACTGACACTTGGAGCATGGACTCTGCTGCTCTGGTTTGGTTTTTTTGACTACTGCAACCCTGACAATGTCTCTCAGGGAAGGGAAACTCCTGTCCCAGGTTTGCACAAAGGGAAAACCTAAGCCAAAGAAGTGAATGGCAGCTTCTGGAAGTGAATGTAAGCCTTTCACTGCAGGTCCTGCAGCTGAACTCCACTGGGAATGGTAGGAAGATGTGCAGGGGGAGGTTTAGGTTGGACATTAGGTAGAGGTTCTTCACCCAGAGGGTGGTAGAGCACTGGAATGGGCTCCCCAGGGAAGCAGTAATGGCACAGAACCTGACAGTATTCAAGAATCATTTGGGCAATGCCCTCAGGAACATGGTGTGAACCTTGGGGTTGTCCTGTTCTGGGGCAGGAGTTGGACTTGGTGATCCAGGCTGTCTGAGGAGGTGGTTGAGCCACCATCCCTGGAAATATCTAAGCAGACAGATGTGGTGCCAGGGGACAGGGGTTAGTGGTGGATGCTGCAGAGTTAGGGTGGTTGTTGGACTCAGTGATCTTGAAGGTCTTTTCCAACCAGAATTATACTGTGACACTGCCTATTCTCTGTCCATCTACATTCATTTTTTCTTCCCTGATGCCTGTAATTTCAGTCCCCTGCTTTGAGTGTGTCAGTGCCCTGCCCCCTTTCTCACTCCCCTCTACTACTGCTCATATCTCCTCATGCCCTTTCCCATCTTTATGGAGTCCCAGTGGGAAATGGACGGCCCAGCCACACACAGATGAGTCAGGCCCCTCCATGCCAGGCCCATGCTGCTTCTCCAGGGCTCACACTGAGGTGTTTCTGACCCCAGAACACCCTTAGGAAGGGACAACTGAGGAGTGAGTCTCAGAGCTGCAGACTGACCCCTTGCCAGCTGAGGGAAAAGTGCCTGATGCCTGGACCCCACCAAGAAACGACCACCCTCAGATGTCACCTCAGGAGCTTCTTTCCTCCCCCAAGAAATGCAGGACTGGCTCGGTCTGAACCTGCCCAACCCCAAGGAGGGGACTGGCTGGGTAGGAGGGACAGGGGAGCTGCTGCTACTCACTCTGTGCATACACTGGGCGGGTCCCTGCTGGGGAGTACAGGCTGTAACTGGAAGAGGTGGCTTGCTGGGGTGGCATACTGGGATTCACGGCAGCTGGCATCACAAACCCTGGAGGAGGTGGGTTGTCTCCCTGTGGAGAAAAAGAAACAAAAAAGGTTGCAGGAAAAAGGGAGATAGGATTTAGTCAGCAACAGTACTGCAGTGCTGCAACAGAGCTGGAACAACATCACCAGAGGCCTGAAACCACATTCCCTGGCAGAGCCACCAGCACAGGGGCAAATGCCTGCAACCACCCCAGTGCCTTAGCAGTGTAACACTGAAAGCACAGCCTGGACGTGCAAGGACTTCAGCAGCAGCAGAGCAGCACACACCTTGCTGCACAAGGAAGAGGTCCCTGCCAGTGCTGCCTGTTACTCGGGCAGCCCAAGAGCACCACACCATCCACAGCTCTCAACTGAACAGCTTCATCATTCATTCTGAAGCTTCTAATTTCCATGTGAAAGAGGAAAAAGTATCCTCCCACTTCAAATATTCCATTGTAGGGCAAGGGTTGGGAGGGCTCAGGTCACACTGAGCTCCTAACTCAAGGCTTTCCAGAGCCCCTCATCTGGGCGTTGGTGGAAAAATCAAGTGGTAACATGAAACACAAAGGAGCAAAACCTGAGCACAGATGGAAGCTGCTCCTTTCACCTATCTGTAGCAGACTGTGTCAAGCACACAGACTACACCAGGGGAATATATACTGGGGTGGAGCAGGGGCTCAGAGAGGAATAATGAAGGTTATACCTGTGTGTCAGAGGGACAGCCTGCAGGAGGATGTCTGGGAAGGGCAGTAGGAGTTTTGTTACTCCAGGTAGTGACAGTAGGGGCAATTCTAACCTGAATCGAACAAAGAAATACCAATCATGGAAAAAAAACACCATTAAAAAGTCTAAAGGGCTTCACAAAATGATAAGCAAAAAAGTGAAAACAAAAAGGTTTGCAATGCTGGCACTTGTAAAAGGAGCAAAACCTGAGCACAGATGGAAGCTGCTCCTTTCACCTATTTGTAGCAGACTGTGTCAAGCACACAGACTACACCAGGGGAATATATACTGGGGTGGAGCAGGGGCTCAGAGAGGAATAATGAAGGTTATACCTGTGTGTCAGAGGGACAGCCTGCAGGAGGATGTCTGGGAAGGGCAGTAGGAGTTTTGTTACTCCAGGTAGTGACAGTAGGGGCAATTCTAACCTGAATCGAACAAAGAAATACCAATCATGGAAAAAAAACACCATTAAAAAGTCTAAAGGGCTTCACAAAATGATAAGCAAAAAAGTGAAAACAAAAAGGTTTGCAATGCTGGCACTTGTAACACAGCCATAAAATCTCAGAGGGAGAAAGTGTATCTGAGACAGATGAAATCTCTGTGCACTGAAGCCAAAGTGAATTGCAGAGTGAAGATAAAGCACAGCAGAGAGGCAGCTGCAATAGGCTGTGGAGTGAGTGCAGTGCTACATGTGGCAGTGAGCTGGGTCTGCCTCCTTCACCACATGTTCCTACTGCAGAAGCTCTCCCCAGGCTACTGCATGACACCAAGCATCACTAATCACAGCTGGAAGTCCCAAGTTCCACATTCAATTCAAACATGCTGCCTCACACAAGAGCTGTCTGTTTTATTCAACTCTTGCACGTGTCAACTTCATGCTAATTGTTTCCCATCTCCCACAGCCTATCTTCCTCCTCTAGCTTCCTATTTCCTACTCTATCTTCTTTCCTTGCCACTCCAAAGCCCTTCAGCTCCACACCACCTCTACTACCTTTCTGACAGGACAGAAATCAACAACCTCTGAGCCCTGTGCAAGGAGAGGGTGTGCTGCCCAGCACTGGAATGCACAGCTGGGGTCAGGAGCTGGACACCCCACCTGAGCACAGGCAGAGGGAAAGCTGTGGCCCTCAAGTCCTGGCTGGCTCAGCTGGCTGTCAGCTTATCAGTGTCTAACCCTGCACAGTGCTGGGCTAATGGTGCAGTCAGCCACACAACAACCACTGTTCATGTCTGCATAACTCATCACTGGAGTAATCTAACAAGACTTTTCCATCCTCTTTCATGCCTGGTTCTTTTCAGATGAAAAAGAAGGTTCAAAAGCCTAGGCTGAAAGGAAATAAAATTTGAAGAACATGTTGCTATTTAGGACAGCAATTAAACAAAAGCTGCTTCAAGCCCAAATGAGTCCTGTGAATGAACTTTCTTATAGGAAACCAAACAAACAAGTATCCTTAGTGTCAAATGTGTTATTTCTTTCCATTCTGGTTCATCAGTATACCACTGGGCACCTTTCTGACATGGTACCTATCCTCTTCAAACTCTTCCTGATGAGGATGAGATCCCTGGAAAGCCAAGTACACAGCAGGTAACCTACTTGAAGTGTGTTCATGGGGTTGTGATACATCTGGCCTCATTAACAAGCAGGCCTTGCTTAAATAATAGCTTGAGGCATCCCTGAAACAGTAGGAGAAAGAGGGAACTCTGGTTTCAAGTGCATTGCTAAGATCACACCATGTAAAGGACACCTGCTATTTGTCACAGCCTAACTGAAAATTTGCAGCATTGCTTCTCAAGGCAATTCATGGGTTGCAAAGAAGAAGGTCAAAGACAAAGGGAAGAACAGCAGAGTTAATTATTGACAATGATGCATTTAAAATAATGTGAAAAGGCATTAGCAAGGTAAGCTTGTATGAACAGGAAGAAGGCTTTGTCTCTTCTGAAATCTACCTGGTTAGATAGGCAAAGATACCTGGAGAGAGGGCCAAGGCACACACAACAGTTGATGTCAGGAGGGAGAGAACAAAACCCAACTCATCCCCACTCTTCAGCTTGCCTTCCTTCCTGCTCCCATTTTTCTGGCAGGCAGTGCTTGGAGGGCAGCACTTCCCAAGACATGGCTCTGCTTGTGCTCATCTCCTCTGTGTGAGAGGAACACCCACTGCACCAACACAACTGCACTCTCAGAAAAGCCCAGCCATGAAGAGCAGGGCAAAATGAGCTGTGATGCTGTGCTGAGGGATTAGAATCACAGACTGGCTTGGGTTGGAAGGGACCTTCAAGACCATCCAGTTCCAACCTCCCTGCATGGGCAGGGACACCTCCCAGCAGCCCAGGTTGCTCCAAGCCCCATCCAACCTGCCCTTCAACACTGCCAGGGATGGGGCAGCCACAGCTTCCCTGGGCAACCTGGGCCAGGCTCTCACCACCCTCACAGCAAAGAACTTTTTCCTGATGTCCAAGCTGGTGCTCTTTAAGCATGCAGACAGCCAGGGCTGCCCACTGCACCACATTCCAGTGATGGCCACTGTGGGCTGAAGGAGCATGGTTCTCAGGCTAGAGATAAAACTAGGGCACCTGCCTCCTCCATTTCTCCTCTTCATCTCTGCAGAGCCCCTAGCTCCCTTATTATTCCCATACTCACTTGGCCTTTCTTCTGACACAACTCACTCTCAGGCCAGGCCTGCCTCTCTGATCCTATGGCACCCCCTGTCCCTGTTCCTGTGCCCCCCTACACCCAGCTGGGAAGGTATTTTCCTCGTAGGCTGTACCCACAACTGCCCTCAGTTTGTCATTGCCACTGCTCAGCAACTTCTGTAGCCAACATCAGAGCTGGGGGGAGGAAATAATCAGCACCAGAAAAAACTGCTGAGCAGCTTGAGCAAGACCCAAGGCTGGGATGACATGAGGGACTAGGAGAGCACCAACAGAAAAATCCTGTAGTGCTCTTCCCACACAGTCATTCCCTGGCACTGAAGCACCTTCTCAAACCAAGAGGGAAAACACCTGATCTTCAGAAGCAGACTGCTTGGCAAGCTGTTTCAACACGTTTCCAGTCAAGAAATAAAGCAGGCAAAATACACTGATTGAGAAGCAGCACCCATGACTTGCACCACCAGGCTCTGGGCACAGCAATGTCACACAGCCCCAGATCAGACTGAGAAAGGAGAAAAATTCCTCTATCCATCCAGAACCCAAGCACTGTATTCCTCCCTGACTGCCAAAACCCACTTACCTGTTGGTAATACTGCTGGGCTGGAGCCTGGGGTCCAGCCATAGGGCCAGCTTGTCCTTTGGGCATGGGCTGTCTTCCAGATGGTGCCTTGAGGGCCTCCTGCCCCACTGGGAGCTCCCCCTGTGCTCTGCGCAGCCTGTCCCGCAGCTGCGCGATGTTCGGCTGCAACCAGAAAGAGACAGGAAAGGAAGGTTAACTGCACTGCCTGTCACTCAGGGCATCACAACCAGAGGCTGACTGGAACATGCTGGTGAGCTCTCTCTCTTTCTCAGAAGCCTGTTCTGCTTTATTGTCTGGGACAAGTGTTTTCTGCATGACACGTGGGGCTGTCGGAACTACCTTACGTGTCCGCGCCTCCCATCTTGGCCTGGATCGTTCTCAAGTCAGTCTGTACAAATGCCAGCTGCTGGAAGATAAGAACTCAGAAGAAAACAACCAACCAAGGGTCAAGGAGCAGGCAGAAGAAGAGCAGGTTTGAGACCATCTAAAGAATGTGAAGGTGAACAAGTCCACGAGACCTGATGAAATACATCCAGGGATGTTCCTGGGGGAACTGGCTGATCAAGTTGCAAAGCTGCTGTTCATCGTATCTGAAAAGTCATAAGAGCCTGAAAAAGTTGCCATTGACTGGAAAAGGGGAAACATCCTCATTTTCAAGAAGGAAAAAAGGAAGGGAACTACAGGCCAGTCTCACCTCTGTGCCTGGCCAGAACATAGAGCAAATCCTCCTGAAGGCTCTGCTAAGGCACATGGAAAATGAGGAAGTAGTTGGCGGCAACCAACATGGCTTTACCAAGGGCAAGTCATGCCTGACTAATTTGGTGGCCTTTTACCATGGGGTCAGAGCATCCAGAGGAGGCCATGAAGATGATCCTTGGGCTGGAGCAGCTCTGCTCTGCTGACAGGCTGGGAAAGTTGAGGTGTTCAGCCTGGAGAAGAAAAGGCTCCAGGGAGACCTTTGAGCACCTTCCAGTGCCTGAAGGGGCCACAGGAAAGCTGGGGAGGTGCTCTGGACAAGGGCTTGTAGTGAGAGGACAAGGGGGAATGGATTAAAGCTGAAGAGGGCAGATTGAGGTTGGACATGAGGAGGAAATTTTTGACTGTGAAGGTGGTGAGACCCTGGCCCAGGTTACCCAGGGAAGGGACTGGAGGGACAGCTGCCCCATAGGCAGTCACTGGCTTCAAGGACAAGGGTGTGAAAGAAGAGGGAGAAAAACAAGGTCATGTACACTTCTGCCAGCTCAGAGAGGCCAACACATGGAGAGGGGAAAGAGCTGGACCATCATACCCTAAGATGCATTTCAAATGGCAGCCCTACTGGCTAACTGCACCACGCAGAGACCTTTGCTCAAAATACACCTGTTGCTACACAGAAAGGGAGAATAAAACCCTGAAGGCCCCGTACCTGGTTGGTGCTTGCAGGGAGGAAGGTCAAAGCTGCAGCAATGCTGCCCTGGGCAGCCAGGAGGTTGGCATACTGGCTCATCTTCTCAGCCAAAAGTGCCCCCACAGCATTGGGGTCCACAGCCTGGGTGAGCTGCACGGCTTTGCGCAGGATTACGACCTTCTCTATTAAATCCTGGACAAGAAAACAACAACAACCCACAAATGAGAACACCAGGGTATAGTAGGCCCTGGCTGATGACTGTTGTGGAGGGCTGTTCTTCAGGGCAGCCCTGCAGAAGGTCTCCCACTCAATGGGAAACCCAAGCCAAGCACAGGATGCCTGGACAGCTGCACTAAAAGCACCCTCTTCCTGGCATGAGACGTGACAGAACAGCAACCACACACCAATTGGCTTCTAACAGCAAAGCCAGCAGCACATCGGGTGGAGTTCAAAGCCAAAAGAACTGTTTGTACTGACCAAAGCCCTGAGAGTGAACAGGAAATACAATGCCCATCAGAACTATCAGTGCTGAGGTGCTGCATTTTTGTTTGCAGCATTTTAGGAAGTTAGTTCATAACCACCTTAATTAAATGGATCTAACATCTCCCTTGGGAGAGTTGTCCATGGTTCTCTGGTTGTTACTGCAAAGATGGTTTTCCTGATGTTCCCCAGGAATACTCCCTATCTTGCCTTCCTTGCATATCCTCAAATACCAGAGCTGATCTGGGTTGGGTTTCTTCCTAGTGCTAAGCTACACTTAGCAGGAACATTACAGGAACATTTTCTGGTAAGTTTTCTCAGGTTTTTCTGACTCTCCCTGTATTAGATTGGAAGATACTACAAATCTCCATTTGCCAGTATTAACATGCAATTCTTCTTTAAAATCTTGTAACAGATTCAATGACAGCATATGACACACAGGATTTTAACCAGGTATCACTAATAAGACTATTCACTGACCGTTCAATAATTCACTTTTTGTTTCACCCAACAAATCAGCACTTCATAAAAGTCAAGTAAAAAAAATAAATCAAGATAACAAATAGAGTTTCATCAGTTCCACATCACAGAAAACAAGTCAAGTAAAAAAAATAAATCAAGATAACAGAGTTTCATCAGTTCCACATCACAGAAAAGGAGCCTCATTATGACTCCAGCACTATTTTTCAATTTCAGTATCCAAGAGAGCAAAGGAATTCAACCAAAAGGCAAGTTTAAACTGAAGGTAAATCTGTACATGAAACCCTTATAAATAAGAGACTGGAACTTAATTGTGATTAATTAAAAAATTGAGAGCGTTAATAACATGAAGCAGAACTCACATACTCCAGTTCCTTCAGTTAACTAAAGAAGAGACTCACAGCACTGCCAGGAAATTTTGCCAGGTACTTTTAGTACCTTCTAAAGGTGGTCCTTCAAAGCAATGATGGAAGAAACTAAGATTATAGTATAAAGTAAATTATTTCACAATTGTTTCATCTCACTGTCATCAAACCTATTCCCCCAGGATACTTGCTATTTTGCCACACATTTCACTGCTGGAAACACAACTCACTATGTGCAACACCCTAGAGAAAGCTCTCACGAGAACCTTCATACAGTTTTCTTTCCAGATCTAACTAATTTATTAGACTTCTTCCCCTGAACACCCAAACCACTCTTCCAAAAGCAAAAACATCCAAGTTTTCCTCTACTGCAAAAGATGCAAGTGTTCAAATCCCCTGCTTTACACCAAACCCTACAGCTACCTTTTTCCACAAGAAGCTTATTAAAAAGACTGCCTAAAGGCCAGAGCAGACATGAGGGCCACTGTGATCCACACCAGATCTTCCAGGATAACATTTATTTGTTACTTCTACAGAAGCCACCCATTCCAAAAGGTATCCTGAGATCCATTCTGCTATCAGACAGCAACAAAGCTCTACACTAGATCATTTAAACACCAAATGGTTGCAGTGTGTTACTTCCAACATCTCTCTTAACAGAATTACCAACCTGAAGGGACAAGGGGCTGTTTCCATCCTGAGCTTTGGTCCAACAAGCAACGAGTTTCTCCACATTGCCAGCACAAATGTAACAGAGACAAGCCTGTGTCTGCAGAAGGCTGTCCCCCTCACTCTCCAGCCTGTTACCCAGGAGATCTAGGAAAAACATCAACAAAGATGCTGGTGAGTCACTTCTGTGATGCTTCTATCACTGCCCAGGCTGGGGAAGCCTGTTGGGTCTCAGCTCAGCACAGTGAGGAGGCACATTGCCTCTGGGCTCCATTGCTAAAGAGATACTTTGGCATCCAGGACAGAAGGGCACTTCAGAGACAGTCAGCATCATTGCAGCAGGGACTTGCCCAACTCCTGCCAGCCTGAGATGTGTCAGAGGGGACTGCTGACATGACAAAGCACAAGGGTTGGTTTCTCCCCTCTGCCACTTGCTTTTTGCAGTCCCTTCATTCAGGGAGCTGAGAGTCCCATGGCCAAAGTGCTGTGACCAACCAAGCCATGACCCTGCTCTGGGCTGGCATGTGCTAAGTCACACAGCTCCAAGACACTGTGGCTTGTGATACAGGGCTGTTGGGCACACAGCTACTGGCAACAGAGCTGCCCTGTGAGTTAAATCCAGCCACACAGCACATGAGGCCAGTCAGGCTAAAGGCCTGTAAAAGAGGACTCCTCCAAGCTGCCAAAGTTGCTCTTGGGGAAGATGAGCAAAGTGCCTCCCTGGAGCACTTCTACCTGTGCCCCATGCACAAGCACTCCAAGAGACTGGTTCCTTGGCTGACACACCTGTCACATCAGGACCACAGTTACCCATCTGCAAACAGTAAGAGAACAGCAGCTGTTCACTACACTGGCAATACAAGGACACAGCTGCTGAGAAGGATCTGGGTCCTGCGCCCAGAAAATCAGAGAACATAGAAGGAACATGTCATCTCAGAGGTTCCTCTCCTCTGCAACAGGATTGAAGGACTCTATTATCCATCAAAGCAGCTAGTGAGGTATTACGATAGATTCCTGAGAAGAAAACAACTGTGGCCAAGTGTAGTTTTGCTGTAGGTGGAATAAATGACACCAATCTGTCAAGTGTCCTTACCGCAGAGGGCTGCAAACTCATCTGGCCTAGCATAAGTGAGCACAGCAGCCAAAGCCTCTCTCCAATTCTGCAGGTCACAAGACTGTACAATCTCTTTCCAGTTCTTCGTTACCACTGCAGTGATGAGCTAGACAAGAAGAGAAACCACAGTTAAGAGCTTTGTAGGATTTCCATGGTTTTTTAGGTAAATTTGGTGTCTATTTGAGTGTACGCACCTCTCTGCACCCAGGGTCACAGCTGATCACAGAGCTACAGACTGGTTTGGGTTGGAAGGGACCTTAAAGATCATCCAATTCCAACCCCCCTGCATGGGCAGGGACACCTCCCACCAGACCAGGTTGCTCCAAGCCCCATCCAACCTGCCCTTCAACACTGCCAGGGATGGGGCAGCCACAGCTTCCCTGGGCAACCTGGGCCAGGGTCTCACCACCCTCACAGCAAATAATTTCCTCCTCATGTCTCACCTCAATCTCCCCTCTTCCCCATTAAAGCCATTGCCTCTTGCCCTCTCACTACACGTCAGGAGTCCCTCCCCAGCTACTGCCTTACTGTGTTGTCCCTCCAGCAGATGTTGGGGTGGTTGAAATCCCCCATGAGGACCAGGGCCAGTGAAAGCAAAGCTGCTCCTATCTGTCTACAGAGGGCCTCATCCTCTTGCTCATCCTGGTCTGGTGGCCTGTAGCAGCCCCCACTATGAGATCACCTGCCCCCGTCTTCCCTTTAATCCTGACCCACAAGTTCTCCATCAGCTCTTCATCCATCTCCAGGTGGAGCTCCAGGGACACCAGTGGGTCACTGATGTGGAGGGTGACACCCCTTCCTCTTCTCCCCTGCCTGTCCTTCCCAAAGAGCTTGTACCCATTCCTTCCTCTGCTCCAGCTGTAGGAGTCATCCCACCACATCTCAGTGATGCCAGGAACAGCCTAGACCTGCAGATGCTGCAGTGCAACTCAGTTGCACAGGAGCACATTTTACTTCTGAAGGAGTTCAGTGAAAGCCACAAAACCAGCTCAGGTAACACAGAAGCACCAATTATTCTTGCTACAAAGCACACAAAAAAAAAGAATGCACAAACCTCTGCAAGCTGGGATTGCTACAGGTGGTTTTCAGCACAAAGATGTTCCAGCACAAAAGACAGCATGCCAAGTAATTAGCTATAAATCTTCTACACAATGCCTAGCAAGGGGTATGAATTTTGCTTTGTCAAATCACCTAATCACCACACAGGCTGCCTGTCCACAAACCCTCAGAACCAAATTACAGTTTCTTCTGTCCCAAACTCTACCTCCAGTTATTTTGCTCCAGACAAAAGACAGACTTGGCAGCTGTGCTGCTGCTTAAGTGAACAAAGTCCATGTTATGCCAAGACTTCAAGCTCAGAAACAGCTGAATAAACATTAAGTGTGCAGTTTGGGTCCAGGAAATCAAAAAACACACCTGAACAACAAAAGAAAGTTCCTAACCACAAGCTCCACAGTCCCTTTTTAGCACAGGAACAGATAACTGCTCAGGTCACCATAAAAATACCTTTTCCCAAAGGATGAACTTCAGTGATTTCCCACACACTACAACACTCTCCTTCCTCTGATTAGACCAGTGGCAAGAAAGGAGCTGGGGGCAGGAGAAAGAATCCTGCAGAGTCTTAACATTTGAGATTTTCCTTTTTTCACTGTCCACCAGCAAAATCCCAGTTACAGACCCTAGCCTGTGGTGCTGCATGCTTTAACTCACCAGATGACTGTGCTTTGTGGCCTTCAGTCCTGATCCAGGAAAGCACTTAAGCACATGCCCATGCAGGCTGCCTCCTGCTACTGTATAACACTCTTCTTTGACAATAGACAGCTAAAAAGTGACCATGAGCAACTTTCTCTCCCCCCTATAAGTGGCCAAACCAACTGTTCTGTGCTCTTTTAAAGTCACTTCTCCTGCTTCCTCCTCCTGTTTCTTTGACAATAGACAGCTAAAAAGTGACCACGAGCAACTTTCTCCCCCCCTCCGTAAGTGGCCAAACCAACTGTTCTTTTAAAGTCACTTCTCCTGCTTCCCCCTCCTGCTGCTACCTTCTTATGTCAAAAGAAGAAAGGGCTGAATGAGCAGCATAAGAATCCCTAGCTTTACAAAAAGCTGCAAAGAATAATAACCAGATGGCCATAACACACTTCCTCCTAGACAACAGATCAGTCTCCCCTGGGCACACTCTTCTGTGCATGCAGAAGCATCAGCAAAACCTGCTAAGACTGATCACAGAACCACCGAACAGTTTGGGTTGGAAAGGACATTAAAAGATCATCTAGTCCTAACCCCCTTGCATGGACAGGAAGCCCAGGTTGCTCCAAGCCCCATCCAACCTGCCCTTCAACACTGCCAGGGATGGGGCAGCCACAGCTTCCCTGGGCAACCTGGGCCAGGCTCTCACCACCCTCACACTCAAGAATTTCCTCCTCATGTCTCACCTCAATCTCCCCTCTTCCAGTTTTCATCCATCCCCCCTTGTCCTCTCCCTGCCTGCCCTTGTCCCAAGCCCCTCCCCAGCTTTCCTGGAGCCCCTTCAGGCACTGGAAGGTGCTCTAAGGTCTCCCTGGAGCCTTCTGTTCTCCAGGCTGAAAAAACCCAGCTCCATCAGCCTGTCTCCAGAGCAGAACTCCTCCAGCCCTCTTATAATTTCCATGGCCCTTCTCTGGACTCTCTTCAGGAGTTCCATGTCCTTCCTGTTTTGGGGCCTCCAGACCTGGACACAGCACTCCAGGTGGGGAGGCAGAAATGAACATAGTGCCACTGGCACTGAGCACGGGTCATGTGCAACCCTTGAAAAATGTGGTAAGACAAGCTGAATTGTGTGCTGCTTAAGATATTTATCAGTGACAATCTACTATTGTATATGAAACTCAGACACTGGAGACAAGGTAAAGAAGACTCTTCTTGTGTACTGATATCCTGGCAGCATGGTTTTCCTCTCCCTAACAATGGATTAAAAAAGAATAACAGAAATCCTTGTGCTCCAAGATCTTGTGGATGACTTGAATACATAGTAGCCTCTCACAGAAATAAACCTATGAAACGGCAAGAAAACTTTGGAGGTGAAAAAGGGAATTGCCAAAGGCCTACATGCATGTTGTAGCATAACTGAAAAAAAAAAGCCAAAACCCAAAAAACAACATACCCTGGTAATTTTGCTCTGCATCTTAGCAAAGTACTTGTCCTGTGTCCTAGAAAGCAGGTCCTGCCCGCCTGCGATGGCCAGGATGATGGCGTCGGCCATGCGGTTATCGTGCAAGCACAGATCCACTGCACTCTCAAAGTTCCCCATCAGCAAGGCCTGGGTAATCAAACCATCCACATCTGCAACAAGAGAGCAAGGCATCTTCAAACCAGGGCACAGAAGTCACCTCCATATGATGCAACTGCAGGTGATGCTGTCCAACCACACAGCACTGCTCCGCGCTCTCGGCAAAGCAGCTCGCTCCAGGCCTACAGGGATTTCATCCTGCCAGGGATGCTCAAGTTCATTTCCAGACTCTGGCACACTATGGTCACAGTCACATCAGGTGGGGCACTGCCAAGCACCACTTACCTGGCTGTAGAACACCATGCTAGAGGTCTAAGTGACCTCTGAAACAGCCACCCTGCATATGCAGTCCCAGAAATTAAGTCTAACCTGGACAGGGAGTCAATGGCTTCCGTGTTATTCAAGATCCCTTGGGAATTTCTGTACAAGAAGTGATGTTACCACCCCATGCCTGATCAGGTGTGTGTTCTTTTGTACCAGAAACCTCCCAGAGTAACTGCATTTCACCAATGGGGTAGACAAGTGCTACACAGTTCCTTTCCTTCCCTAAGATGATGCATTTTCAAGTGCCTCAAGACTGCTGTGAAATTAATGGGAGTTAAGAGGCAAATCATGATAATCCTTCACAATCCATGCAGAAATTGCCTTCTCACTGGAACACTAGTACCACCACCAGAATTCAGAAGTATCAGCAGATAGAATGAAATAATGATGAAGGTCTTTTTTACCTCCACTAACAGAGATGTTAAATGGCTTCTTCGCAGATTTCAAATCTTCTGTTTCTTGTATATGGTCCTTCATCCCCTAAGAGGAAGGGAAAGCATAATTGTTGAGATTGTGTAAGTACTTGGAATACATACACATATTTTAAAAAAATACAGCTGCTGCATTAAAAGTGAGTATCATAGAATCATTAAGGTTGGAAAAGACCTTCAAGATCATGGAGTCCAACCATAATCCAGCTACCACAACCACTAAACTGTGTCCTGAAGGGCCAAATCTAAGTGCTTCTTGAACACCTCCAGGGATGGTGCCTCCATCACCTCCTTGAGCAGCCTATTCCAATGCCTCACCATTCTTTCAGTAAAGAAAATTTCCCTAATATCCAACCTAAACCTCTCCTGGCACAGCTTACACCCATTTCCTCTCATCCTATCACTAGTTAAAGATAGATCCTCACACTTCCAGTTGTCAAGGAGATGGGAGTTCATTAACTTAGAAGGAAAGAGTATCCCTGTCATTTGTTAGAACACTGTCAGCACAGGATAACCAATTTCCTCCAGTGCCTGCACAAAGTCACCTCTTCAGCACACCAAGGAAGGCTTGGGCTTATCAAAGCTGCATGTAAACACACTACGATGAAATCCTTGTTCTGACAGACCAGAGTGGGCCATTTTATAAAATGGATGCCAAGGGGAAAAAAGCTCTGAAAGCCCCACATTTCTACCCACCAGGGAAGCTTTATATAAGCACACGTGTATACCTAGAGATCACAAACAGCTGCAACCAGATGCCAGGATCCTGGGTACTGACTTGCACAAGCACATGTACACACAACCCCTTCAAAGCAAAACAGCCACAGAATCAGAAACCTTCTCCCTTCCCTCCTCTTCAACCCCCACAAAAAAAGTCTACCATAATGCTACCTAGGTTTCACTTTGCTCCACCAGGACTTTCAGCTCATCCTTGAAACTCTCTGCCCTAGGCATACCCCCTAGGTAAGCAAAACACATGAACATGTGCTTAGTTTTCCACACAGAAGTTCAGTGTGGTTCACTGTAGTGCTTTGGCACCATCAATTTTCACAGCACAGACTACAAGCACAGAAATGGTCCCCCAAGCTGTCCCCTCTGTCATAAGCCAGTGCACTAGCATGTGCAGTGGGAGTCCTAGAGTCTGCTGCACACCCTGCTTATCAGTGAAATTGCACTTCAGAGGATGAAGAGCAAGTACACAGTTGACCAGGAGCAGGCATTTAGGATGGGGAGGAAAGTCTGAAAGAAGCTCAGCATCTGGAAAATCATGCTGTCAGATAATGCAAGGTAAATATTTGGTAAGAGTTGAGAGCATGTTGTGACTATTCCAGGAACCGGGTGCCCATCCAGTGGCTTCAGGATGACCTCAATTTACCACCCATGCTGGTAGGCTGCCTCTCTGCAAAGATTTACACCTAGAAACAGGGCAGGAATAAGCTGACAGCTTTTTGATAATCAACCAGAGGGAGGGAAGAAAGGAATAAGGAAAGAAAGAAGGAAAAAGGGGGAAAAAAAAAAAAAAGGAATGCATTAGAGCTGTGTCAGGAAATCATTTAGTACACGATGTTAGGGACATTTCAGAGTGAAAATTACAGCAGAATAAAGTCCTTGAGACTTGTGCCAACTGGACTGTTAAAAAATGAGCTCCTTCTTCATTGCCACCAAAACCTATTCACATGAAAATCCCAAGCAACTTAACAGCCCATATTTTACTCATTCTAAGTAACTCCTTGTATTTCTCTATATCCTCAGCACCAGGAAAAGCCAACAAAACAAAACACTCTTAATAGTAACAGAGTAAATACCCAGAAGGTCATCAGGGTTAGTCTAGAGGGTGACAAATACCTCTCCCAAGAACTGTTCCTCTGTAGCAGGGCCTCCATCCCCCTCATTCAGCACAGATTCATCAGAAGCCTTTGGCAGAGAGAAGGTGCCATAAAAAAAAAAAAGAGCCAGCAAAAGAGGAAGACACAGTTAGTAGAGCACAGCCCCCTTCCCATTAACCATGGCCAGAACCAGACTGCAGATGAGAAATGCACTGGTAATATATACTTGAGTAAGACCCACATGGCAAGAGCCCCTCCATTCCCTTGCTCTTTGTCATGACACAACACCTTGTGCTGCCCTCACCTTAGCTGCCTGAAAACAAGCAGCAAAAACTCTTATTCCCCATTAGGCAAGTACAGATGACACCCAAAATATCCATTGCCACAAAAGCAATGCAGTCCCTCCCCACTGCAGACTCAGGCCATTGCAAGCACAATGGACAATGCCTGAGCTGAATTGATCCCTCTTCCTGGGACATCTTAGAGAAACACACTCATTCCTG